ATACATATATATTGTGTGTGCTCAGTGCCCTCGCAAGGGACCACCCTCGCGAGGGCCTAGGTTCTGTGTATAATGCTGATATATTCTACATGATGATGTTTCATGAATTTTCATGATGTGTTACTGATGTGTAGTGTATGAGACTGGTAGAACCTGATGCAAGTATGGACATGGTTTATGCTTGTCCTTGGTTTAAGTTGAAGATAATTGTTTAACGGTTTTGCTTTCTTTGCTGAGAATGCATGGCGTCAAAGGAACGTGAAGCAAGTATGTAGTATATAGTTGTTTTTTTTAGGGTATGCAATAGAGAAAAATTGTGTTGGTTTTTTGGGGCGGCGAAAGTCAGTTTGATGCTTGACAGCAGGAAGGATTGAAGCAGACATGTGCAGTTGCGAATGTGGAAGTGTTCGTTCAAAAGTTTGACATCAACAGAAGCAGCCTTGCAACAGGCATGACACGGAGCACATAGGGCTACAAGCCTCCAAAGGTTGAATCGATGCAAAGCACCGTTTTTAGATCAAAGGGCAGCCTCCTGCAAGCAGCTACAGTTTCAACAGGGCCAATACCATTGTCCCTGTGCACTGCCAAAGGTTTTGGCCTTTGTGCCAGTACAGCCACTGACTTGAACGAATCTTACCTTCAACAAAGCAGCGCCAGGCTTTCGGCTGATGTGCTTACACAGGTGCCCACAGTCCATGCATGAACGGCGGTGTCAGGCGGCGCGCCACCATCACTGACGTCCATCCAGTTGTCAGACATGAGTAGGCGAGCCGGTCAGAGAATAGCAAGCAGTGGGTTAAAGCTGTGCGAAGAACGGTTGGAAAGGAGAGACAACTTGCAGAAAGGACATTCCACAGGCGCCCACAGTCGTAGGCGAGCCAGACAGAGAACGGCAAGCAATGGTTAAAGCTGTGCGAAGAACCGCTGCAAACGAGAGACAACATCCAGAAAGGACATTCCACAGTACTTGTGCCAAGATGTTTGCTGCCAGTTTCCTGAGAAGCCGCTTCCACAAAAGACATCTCCGACTTTGAGGGGGCAAGACAGTGAGAACATTGAGTGTGAAGAGCTTCTGGTTCAGCACAGTGTAAAGTGTAAAGTGTGGAGTGTAGAGTGTGTAGAGTGTAGAGTGTAAAGTGTAGAGTGTGGAGTGCAAAGTGTAGAGTGTAGTGTAGAGTGTGGAGTGTGGAGTGTGGAGTGTGCAAAGTGGAAAGTGGAAAGTGTGGAGTGTGCAGTGTAAAGTGTGGAGTGTGGAGTGTAAAGTGAGGAGTGCGAAGTGCAAAGTGTGGAGTGTAAAGTGTAGAGTGAGGAGTGAGGAGTGTAAAGTGTAAAGTGTAAAGTGTGGATTGTAAAGTGTAGAGTGTAGAGTCTGGAGTGTGGAGTGGAAAGTGTAGAGTGTGGAGTGTGGAGTGTGGAGTGTAAAGTGAGGAGTGTGGAGTATAAAGTGCGAAGTGAGGAGTGTGGTGTATGGAGTGTTTAAAGTGTAGAGTGTGGTGGAGTGTGGAGTGTAGAGTGTGGAGTGTGGAGTGTAGAGTGTGGAGTGGAGTGTGGAGTGTAAAGTGTGTGAGTGTGCAAAGTGTTAAGTGTGGAGTGGAAAGTGTAGAGTGTGGAGTGTGGAGTGAGGAGTCTAAAGTGTAAATTGTGGAGTGTGGAGTTTGGAGTGTAAAGTGTAGAGTGTGGAGTGTGGAGTGGAAAGTGTGGAGTGTGGAATGTAGAGTGAGGAGTGTGGAGTGTAAAGTGTGGAGTGAGGAGTGTGGAGTGTGTACAGTGTAGAGTGTAAAGTGTAGAGCGAATTGTTGCGCCAGCCACGCAATAGAGCTTTCGACACGGTATAAAACAGGTTGGAATGTCACAAAGTGCCACGCCTGCCACGCAAAACGACATGACAACCTGCTTGGAAACCTTCGAAAAGGAGAGGTTTCGCAGCTTCCCCCATAGACACGGCGACGCCACAGGAAAACGAGAGACTCGAGACGAGACACGTGGGAGCATCAAAACGAGCATTTCGTGCCAGACGTCCTCCAATTTTGACACTTTCAACACGTTATCAAACAGGTTGGAATGTCACAAAGTGCCACGCCTGCCACGCAAAACGACATGACAACCTGCTTGGAAACCTTCGAAAAGGAGAGGTTTGCAGCTTCCCCCATAGACACGGCGACGCCACAGGAAAACGAGAGACTCGAGACGAGACACGTGGGAGCATCAAAACGAGCATTTCGTGCGAGACTTCCTCCAATTTTCACACTTTGTAGCTTCAAAATCGATGTTTGCCTACGAGTTTTCTCAGGAACCTCTAAATTTGCTACCTTGAAATCGATGTTTCGTGCGAGGCTTCCGTCAATTTTCATCACATCTCACAAAATGCCACGCCTGCCACGGAATTTGCACCTTGTCGCCACTTGACGCAGCCCTGACAATGCGATTCGCAAAAACACGCAACACGACACGTCTGAAGTGCTGCGCCTGGCCTGCCACGCAAAATGACGATGGACACGTCCAAAGTGCTGCGCCTGCCACGAAAACTGCAACACATCTTCTGAAAATGTCGCAAGAGTATTGCGCCTGCCACAGAAAACGACTTTCGACGCGAAACGAAGCAATGCCACAGGTGAAACGTCCAAAAATGACCCCTTCTTCAGAACTTACCATAGGCACGGCCATACGGGGATCGCGCGGACTTTTGCGGACGGTTGCGAACGGTTCCGGACGGTTGCGACCGGTTGCGGACGGTTGCGACCGGTTGCGGACGGTTGCAGACGTAAACGCAACGTCGAGCGAACACACCCTCAGCCCCCAGACCCCCAGAATGAAACGGGAACCCTTGCTACGCATTCGGGAATAATTTTTCCAGAGGTCCTGGGGATGGAGTGGGGGCAAACTTCGAAAAAACTTCGAGAAAATAAATCAATCAAAACCGAGAGGTCCTGGGAATGGGGGTGGCCAGACAAGAGTGTCAGAATATCTTTTCTTTATGTTCTTTAGGTTCTCTCGATTTTTTTAACCTTTTTTGGGATGTGGAAGGATGAGAAGAGTGTTACAATATCTGCTAGGTGAATTTTGGCCAAATGTTGGCATCCACTTGTTGCATACTTGTTCCGTTTCCTTATTTTCCTTCAGAATGACTTTCTTCTTGAAATTTAAGAACATGTTATTTCATACTGTAATTTACAATGTTCTTGGGAGTTCCTGTATTTCGAAGTAGTACTCATTGAGTTGGATAGCGCTATGGAAATATGAAAGGGTGGTCGAAAGGGCGGTGACCATGTATGTATACATATACATTATAATTTACCAAAAATGAGAATAATGGCAGTAGTAGTGATACTAGTAATAACAGTAGTGATTTTTTTGAAAAAAAAGATAATAATGATAAATGTATGTATGAATGTATGTATGTATGTATGTATGTATGAAATGTATGTATGTATGTATGTATGTATGTATGTATGTATGTATGTATGTATGTATGTATGTATGAAATGTATGTATGTATGTATGTATGTATGTATCTATCTATCTATCTATGGTATGGTATGGTATGGTATGGTATGGTATGGTATGGTATGTATGTATGTATGCATGTATGTTTGTATGTATGTATGTATGTATGTATGTATGTATGTATGTATGTATGTATGTATGTATGTATGTATGATGCATGCACGAAATGTATAAATGTATGTATGTATGTATGCATGCATGCATGTATGTATGTATGTAATGATGTATGTGTGTATGTGTGTATGTCTGTATGTCTGCATGTCTGCATGTCTGCACGTCAGTGTGTATGCATGCATGCATGTATGCATGTATGTAGGTATGTATGTATGTATGCATGTGTGTGTGTGTATGCATGTTTGCATGTATGCATGTATGCGTGTACGCATGCACGCATGCACGGGTGCATGTTTGCATGGATGCATGGGTGCGTGGATGCATGGATGCATGGATGGGTGGATGTATGGATGTATGGATGCATGGGTGTATGTGTATGGATGTATGCATGTATGGGTGTATATGTGTATGATGTGTATATTATTTGAAGTTTTGTGCAATGAGCGGAAAGAAGCCCAATCCCGAATAGTTTATGATCGTTGCTTTATTGTTTTCGCATTGAAATTGCGGTCTTGGGGCACGCCCCGTTTCTGGGCAAACCCAAATTAGGAGGGAATCTCTGTGCATCTGGTCTGACATTTGTGAGGCCCCTGAAGCTTCTTTCTTTTTGTTCCCCAAACAGCATGTCCACACTGAGGGGTTCTTACGGTAAGTGTAAAGGCCGGTGCTTGATGAGGGTGCTCACTCTGGGCAGCGGCATTTTTCCTGTAAATTTCCGCGTAGAGTTCCGCATAAAGCGACTCTTGTGAAATCTTGACATGCGTTTCAACCGCGCAGGCTCGCACAAAGTCTGCGCCGTGGTTCTGGGGCGCGGATTTTTTCCGCATAAAATGGCTCTTGTGAAATCTTGACATGCGTTTCGACTGCGCAGGCTCACACAAAAAAATGTGTCCGCATTCTGGGCTCATTCTGGTCTGCTTGTGAAATGTTGACATGTATTTCGACAGCGCAGGCTCGCACAAAGTGTGGTCCTCGGTCTTGGGATCGGTCCTCCTCCTCAACATCAACATCCCTACATCATCCATCGTCCTCCTCCTCAACATCATCATTCTCAACATCATCATCTTCGTCCCCCCTCACTTCAGCATCCTCCACCTCATCTTCCGCAACATCATCTTCCTCCACCTCATCTTCCACCACATTATCATCCTTTTCATCATCCTCCTCAACATCATCATCCTCATCCTCATCCTCCTCATCCTCCTCAACATCATCATCATCATCATCCTCCTCCTCCTCCTCATCCTCCTCAACATCATCATCCTCAGCCTCATCATCCTCAACATCATCATCATCCCCCTTCTCAACATCATCATCCTCCACCTCATCCTCCGCGTTATCATCCTCATCCTCATCCTCCTCAACATCATCATCCTCACCAT